ATCACACCATCATCATCATCATGCCTGGGAGAAAAGCCGGCTCCACCTCTCTGGAAAAGGAGCTGCCCTCCCCCGTGAGCGTGCCAGTTGGACTGGTCCTGGCCCTGACCCTGCCTGTATCCCTGGCTGTTCTGTGGAAGTTCAGCCTCCCCCTGCTGGCTGTGTCTGTACTGGGGGAGGAGGCTGTACAGAGGGTCACAGATGTGGCATTTGGTAAGTAAATTTGCACGTGAAGCATGCTTAAAGAACCCAACACGCTTACCAATAAGATGTATAACCCGATATTGGCTCAAAACAAACCAGTCTGAATTGCAGAGGCTGTACTGTACTGTACTGAACTGAATATATACTGAGATGTATGTAACACAATTGATTTGAGCCATTGCTGTATGTTCTACCTCAACCTGACACTTGCACCAAAGCACAACTTGGTACAAAGACCCACACCAGCAAAAGAGTACTATGTCCAACCCAAATTTCCAATTAGAAAGCCACAACCTTACATGCTCTTCTCTTCCTCATCAGCTGCTACAGTCACTCACCCATACCTTGCCTTAGCACTGTGAGGCATTGTCATAAAGCATCTCTAGTGTTTCCACAGATGGTTTAGAAATGTTAGAAATAGTTTTTTTCCCACAGACCTAGCTGCCCATTTCACCTCGCCGTGCCCGGTGTGGATCCCCCACGCTGAGCGGCGCTGGCTGCAGCAGCCGTCAGACAGACAGATCCGCCGAGTCAGCAACATCAGCAGGAGGGAGTTTGTCATGGTGGTCAACAGGGGAGAGCCTGTCATCATCACGGATGCCATGCAAGGTACATGTACTTCAATCTGCTCTACACTTGGTTGGCCTATAAATCAGGATCAGTAGGGAAGACTTTGTTAGGTGAACAGAGGAGAGTCTGTCAAATTCACTGATGGCATGCAAGGTACAAGAACTGCTCTACAAAATACAGGTACTATAAATCTTGAAACGTTTGCAGTGGTTTTGTTTTCATAGTTTTTGCAGTGGCGTCTTCTCTGCTCATCAGGATCAGTAATAAGGAAGACTATGTTAGACTTGTTAGCAGGAGAGTCTGTTATCATCACTGATGGCATGCAAGCTACATATTCTATAACTTAACTTCTTGCCAATATAAGCTTGCGCCACTATGTTATGTTTATTAGTATGACGTCACGGGTCACTTGATGCCCATCCCTGAGCCCGTGTGCTCATAGGTTGTGAATCCCCTCTATGGTCAGTCTTAAGATCTGACTCCATGTGTACAACCATGTTGTGATTAAATGCTGTTCGCATCCAAGTGCATCTCGCGTCCTCGATCCTTCGTAGTTGGTCCTTGGTCACTTAGTGACGTTGATTTAGGTAGGTGAAGTAATGGCTGTATACCCTGGCAACAAATTGAAGAATGTCTACCCTTTCTATCATGAAAAATTAATATGATTAAGTCACAAATGGCCTATATTTGACCTATAAGCCCATTTATTTCAGTACCTGGTACTTTGTATAAAACTACAGGAAAATAGGACTTTTAATTTGTGTTCTAGGTTGGGAAAGCTTGAACAGATTTGATTGTGACTACTTCATCAAGACATACCCCACAGCTGAATATTTTGACTGGCAAGTAAGGAACAACCTTTCTCTCTTTGTGTTCTTTCCACCTATTGTACTGCAACATGGTGTGCTTAATGTAATAATTGCTATTTCCTAACAATAACGAAGTTTTATCAACTTTGCTTTTCTGTAATTCATTTATGAATATTAAATTAAATGCTTTCACCCTCAGAAAGGCCATAAGATCCGGTTTGGTGACATCCCTACAGTATACGGAGGAGACCCAGACTCCTGGAAATGTGCCAGCGGCTACTTCGACACATTCTGGGACACCAACATGAAGGCAGCAGTGGTAACTTAATATCTATTATGGAGTACACTTTTTCTTACACAAGTTACAGTATATCACTTCTATGGATAAAAGCCACTGTGAAAGCCAGAAAAAAAGCCTGTTGTAGAGTCTGCTTATGAGGTAACTTACAATTAGGTTTCTGTCATAAACTTCTACTCACTCTCTCTCTATTCAGTTTAGCGTCTGTTGTTCCCCGTCTTCTAAGGGTAAGACGTGCTTACACAATGATGCTGAGGCTTGATGGCAGCCTGCCATTTGCCTCTTTCCTGTGGGTTGATGTTATGTAGGTTTAGGTGGTAGAAGTCCTCCTTACAACCTTATATCAACAACCTTACATGTATGTAATAATTGTAGATGATTTCTACATTTTTTTCCAGGACTGGTTAGCCCAGGTCCCGGAGCCGTACTTCCTACCTGAGGGCAGCCTGACCGCCAGCACGGCCGGACACGTCAGGGCACCCATGATGACTGGATTCTTAGGAACACCTGGGACAGGTGTGTCGCCTCACCTGGACGAGACCTGCGAAACTTTCATGACTGTACAGGTGTGTACATCCACGAGGTAGAAGGCATCCAATGACAACTTCGAGGGTGGACAAAACAAAGAAGATATTCTGAATGAGGAAATCTGTCTAATATTGACATTTGCTGCCATTTCTGTAATCATTTCATACTTGTGTTTGAGACAACCCCTAAACAAGCTACATGAGGAGTCCCTTAAATACATGTATCTAGAACAATATGACAAGCAACCATTTTCCATCAGCAACATTGCATTTTTGCCGCAGTATGCTAATGGGATAGGGTTGATTCTACTAAATACTACATTAAAAGTATGGCCGGAAAATTGACTTTGAAAATCCAGTTTTGCCAGCCTGAAATTGCACTGGATTAAAGCTATTAAATTAATCATATTTATGTTAAGAGAAGATATACTAGTATATAGATTTTACATATAAAAGAATGTCTTACACATGATGTACCTGACTGATAGGCTTGCACATGCATGAACAATTCTAAGGAATTGTTACAGTTGTTGGTGAAATACCCTTGACAAGTGATTGACATGTGTCAATCATCCTCCCAGTTCTCAGGTGTGAAGAACTGGAGTCTGTCCTGGCCAGAGGTGCATGATGGGAAGCTCAGGTGGTCTCCGCCTATGGTTTTCACCTTGAACCCTGGTAAGAGATCCCTAGATAAATATATGTTGTTGGAATCTCCTGTCGCTGCGACAGATGAGTAGGCGTACAGGTCATCATTATGTATGTTACACAAATAGTAAATATCTTGCCACTATACTGATGATGTACTGAGCACAAGCTGCATAGAGTACATATCAGTTTGAGCTGTGTCAATAATCTTCTAGATTTTAAACTGCATCATCATCATCAGTTTGGGGTTTCCTGGTCCAAGACCTTCTCCCTCCAATCTGCTTTATCCTGCAAATTTATGTGCAAGATTTTGCAATGATGAAGTTCTCATTTATATCTAAGGAGACAATGTAAGGCATCTACTCTATCATAAATGATTTTACATACACAGATAGGCAGGCATTTTTTCATAGATTATTGTAAATTACTCTTTAGTATACACAGCATTGCATAATTTTCTGAATAAAGTCTCGAAGCAGATTAAAAATACTTTCAAATTGATTAATTGCATAGAATGCCTTGTTTCAACCCAATACCTGATATTAGGATAAGGAATAGATGAATAAATGAAGGAATAATTTTTTGTCTGCAGGAGAGATCATGCTGTGGTACGTGGGCATGAGGCATCACACGGAAGTTGTCTCCGGCTGTTCCCTGAGTTTCAGCTACAGATTCAGCACCCCTGCCCCCATGAACTACTTTGAGAAGCTCAGGAACGCTCTGCAGTCGTTTCCCCAGGAGGAGATAAGGAAACTGTTTGCTGAGACCAAAGCTATGGATGTGGACTATGCAGAACACTGTGAAGTAAACAGGCATGGGGACAGAGTACATCTCAGCTGAGAAAGAAAATCATTAAGTTAAACTTGAAGACTAAATTAGAAAGGCTTAATTAGAAAGTTCTGTGCTGAGACCAAAGCTATGGATGTGGACTATGCAGAACACTGTCAAGTAAACAGGCATGGGGACAGAGTACATCTCAGCTGAGAAAGAAAATCATAAAGATCTCTGAAATATTTTCAGTATAACGTAATGTTACTACTTAGAGTACAGTTCAGATGTTCATGGTACACGATGGCTAAGTTAGAAATCTCTTTGCTGAAAGCTAAAGATGTAGACTTTACAGTAAACAGTAGAGTAGGCAGGCATGGGGAGAGCTCAGCTTGCAGAACACTGTAGGGTAGAAAGGTATGGGGACCAGATACATGTCAGTTGACAAAAATCATTTACAGGGACCATGGTTGACAGATGATGATGATGCCTGGGAGTAAACCTGGGGATGTGAACAGATATAGAAAAGTGGTACAGAATGTAACAGAAACATAGAGAAAGTGACCTGTCCACAAAAAAATTGTTGGTACTCGGAAACCAGAACATCAGAACAACACAATGTTGACAGGGTACAAAAAATGTACATCTTGTTGTAAGGATGGTGGGTGTAGAAGTCATACTACATAATTATCAAGTGAGAGAACTATCTTCAGGGACTTAAGTAATGGATGTGGACATTGCAAATTATCTTAGGGTGGTTTTGTGCATTATACTAATCAAGAGCAATATAAAAAAAGTAAGATTGACAGCACTATATTTTAAGACTATGCAATCAAAACCAATGACAATTTTACAAAAAGATGAGTAAAAAAGGAAGGAATTGTAAAATTATGGGTGTTTAATAAACTTTGTCAAAGCTAAATAATTTTCATAATACCAACCAAGCACCACAAAGCACCACAAGAAAATTAGTGTATATACATGATACATTTCTCACATATTTTTTGTAGTATCTTATATGCATTACATTATGCACTTTAGTAATGTATATACATTGTATTAAACGGAAAAGTGGATTATTGTGTTAAGTATATGTTTAAGATATTGGTTTCTTTACTTCAGTCAGAGACTGTGTTGAACTATCCTGATTTGGGATTTTTGTTCTTACATTTTATAAACCAGATTTTATACATTATTTCATCCATTCAGTAGACGAAAATCACTGTACTTTTTTGGTGTCAATAAAGATCACCCGTTCCTATTTTCTCAAACTTCATCAGGCCCAGTGTATTATCTCAGGCCTCTGTACTTGCTGTTATCACAATCATAGAATTTGTCACGCAAGGCACATCAGCTAGAAGCAAAATTGCAAATGCATCAATAGGTTAGAGGTGTTGGCTTTTTTCCGGTTGACGTGTAGATCTAGTTTGTGCATCAAATATATTTTTGCTTCCTCTGTACATCATTAGTATGTCATTGTCATCCCAGGAAATACACTCTTTGCTCTTTGTTAATTGATAATTGTTAGATTTTGACTTTCTTCGGAATAAAAAAGCTTATTTACATTTCCACTATCTCAGTAGCAAGGGTATGTTTTGAAATATACCCATCCGGCAATTACACTTATGTTAACAAACGCAGTAGGCAAAGGCAAGTCAAAACAAAGTCAACAAACTTCAACAAACATATAAAGTACACACATCTTATTATGATACATTTCTTGTACTGTAGTTTGCTACATTGGTGAACAGCCTGTTTAATTTCATAGAACCAAAAGTTGAAAACGTTGTCTCTTGTAGGGGTTTTGGGTATAGCTGATTAATATTAGGCAAAAATTAGCAATATACAAAGCTCTCCTCTGCTAAAAATCTTCATAACTGCTAAGCCTGATAGTTGAGTTTATTATCAGACTATCATGATACTAGTACCCAGTTCCCCTAACTGAGACAAGTTTGGGTGTTACACAAGTCATGTATATTTTACTCTATATGCAATGCTTTGTTGCACAGAACAGTAACAGTAACAGTTGTGTCATGTAGTGTCCTCTAGTCTCACTCTTCTCCATCAGCTGGTCGGGTCCTCGCTTCTTCTATCATTCCTTCACACTGTGAAACAGGAGAGAAATATTAGCTGGGGTCCTTGAGAGAACTTGTTGAAATTCAAAAGAAAATTAATAGGACTGTGTCAGAATGTGATTTCTTTTCTGCTTTATGTAACAAA